GATACCTTGGAGAAACTTGAAATACGTTGATTTAATACAATGTCGAATTTTGTGCTGGAGTTCAGGAAATAAATAACAGATTGCATATGACTAGTTTGTCAACTTCAAAGGGTAAATGTGCCTCCCCATGACATTGATGCTGACTAAGCATCATCAGTGCTCCTGTCTGTGATGCTCTACTCTATGCTAAATCACACTGCCTTTCAATTAGGCCGAGAAAAGCTAAATATGCTTAGAACAATAAATTTCAACACATTAATGATTAAAATGTTCTCATTTGTCCTGATATTCTGTTTCTAGATTTAATATGTGAGCCTAAATATGTGCAAATAAATTATTCCAATAATAAAAAGTCACCAAGTAACTACAAATCCAGTCATAATTTTCACCTCTGCATAACATGTTTTACACATGTACACAAAAACACACTGTGTATATAGCACATTTGAAGTGTAAAGTATGTTTTGTCTTTCACAGCATCATTACAATCTTACTCCAATGGCCAACTCCATTGATCTTCATTATAATATGAATAAGCAATGTCAGTATGGCAGAACCTAGTACATGTAGCCAATCTGTTGACTTCCTTAACTTTACTCTTTAGAACCTAGAACAAAAACAAAAAATGGCACTTAAGAATCCACTTGACTGGGATATATTTCAGGCCACAAGCAATGTTCTGAAGAATCATTCATTCCCTCATTCCTTGGGTTTCCTTTTGCATTTTTGTGATAATCTGGTCCACATTTGGGTGGAATTTCTGGGTTTTAGCAGTAAGAGTTTTGCATTACAGGAACCCCTTATGTCCAGTGGAGGAACAAGTTGATCACTGACATCACAGCTCTCCCAATATGCCCAAGTTCAAAGATTTTCTAGGATGAGTCACAGGACTCAGCACATAGCTATAGCTCTTTATATGAGTTTTTTCAATGAAAGGAAGCAAAGCCAAATCAACAAAGGGAAAAGGTTTGTGAATGTAAGTAAGAAGTCAGGCACAATCTCTGCATCCTGTCCTGGGGGAGGACTTATTCACAATATGATTTTCCCCACAACCACAGTTTGGCAAAACATGGGATATGTCCACTTAAAAAATAAGAGACTCACTGAGAAGACTCAGTCTTCTTTTGAGGAATCTGATTCTATAGGTTCAAAAAAGTGGAGGTACTATATTCATACTTCATGCCAAATTCTAAACTCCTCAAAGTTGCAGTTGTAGTGCATAAAACTTACAAATTTTACAGGCAGATTAGTTACAGATGGCCATCCTTAAGTGTTAGGGATCATAGAATACCTTCCACAATTTAATTTCTGACAATCATTCCAGGGCCACTGTTGTAAGTAAGAAATATTACAATCTATAATGCTAAATCTTTCCTTCAAAGTCACTGTATAGGAATGAAAGAACTAAATATTATGGGTTAGGATGCATATCCTACAGCTACCACTTTATATATAAGAAAATCAGCTGTAGTTTTTTAAGGATCAGTAATTGCATCAACGACCAGTTCTTTTAGGCAAGATATGAATGTAGAGCGATTCTAAATCACAGCCTTTCTAACAAGGCTTGGATGAAGGATTTAAAGTATATAAAAGATACATGAACAAAATACTACCTGTTTTTTAAAGTATCTTAGAAGCTATCATTTTTTAGTGAAATGAAAAGAAAGCAGATTTTGATTTCTACCACCATTTCCTGTTACCAGCCCTGCTCCTTTCTCACTGTTGGGGACACTCAGAGGTTGAACAAAGCTGAAGCTATAGTGGAGTCCTGTTCCTTCCTCTGCTTCATTATTCTTTACCTTACAAATGAACCCAGTCCTGTCACTGGTCCTTAAATTACTATAAATATTTTCTTATATTTTTTAGAAGCAAAAAATTTGATTGAAAGGTTAACTATCCAAGTCCTCACCATGCATTTATGTTTTCTATTAGACAGATTTTGTCCCAGTCTATATACCAAGTAGATTACTGTAGCTTTGCATTTCATTCTGAAATAAGGAAGCATGCTTTGCCCACTTCATTCTTTTTCAGTTTGTTGAAGCTATTCATGTTCTTGCATATTCTCTGTGAATATTAGAGTGTGTCTATCTGTTTCAGTGCCACTAAAACCATTGGTAGTGTGATAAAGATTGCAATGAATCTGTGGGACTCTTGGGATAACATTGCTATCTTAATAATACTGAGAGTTCCATGATCAGAGTGTTTTTATTTTTGTGTTTTTTAATTTCGAGCAAGGTTGTGTAGTTTTCATTTTATACTTCTTTTGTCACATGGGTTAAATTTATTTGTAGGTGCTTTATTATTTTGACCTAATTAAAATGGAATGGAAGTTTTTCCTTTTTGTTTATTGTTGGTATATGTAAACACACTGGGTTTTTTGTGTTTTACAATTCATTTAAGGGAACTGGTAATCACAAAATATCTCTGTGTAGATTACTTATTCTTTAGACAATTCTGCACAATAGCACTATGAGAATTTTACACTAGCTACAGTCTATTTTCTTAAGTACAAAGATGAACTAGAATCTGAGCCATTATGCGATCATATAATAAATCAGATCTGATTGATCACCAGTATCTATAAAACCAGGCCTGGGGAATGTACAGAGTCTGGGGACACATGCATGGTCTTAACATAGGGAATGTTTATTATAAACACACTGATTTTGTGCAATGGTTTTGTGTCCCACAATTTTCTGAATTCATTTATTGACTATAAATTTACTTGTGAAATATGCAATGTTTACAATATAGCAGATCACAGGGTAAGTTCATGATCAGAGATAAATTTACCTATTCCTTTCTACATTTCCTGCTTCATTTCTGCTTTTACCCATAATCCTTGGCTGGAACTCCCATACTACATTGAACAGAACTGGAAAAACAAGTATTAAGTAAACTTCATGCACTATGAAAACAATTTCAGTCTTTCACCAGTGCATGTGATATTATCTGTGGATTTTTTATTTCTGACGTTCACTATGGTGAGGTGGTTCCTTCTATTTCAAATTTGCTGATGCATCTTTCCAGAAAATTGAGTTCTGTCACATGATTTTTGCAGCAATTGAGAAGACTATGTGTTTTTCTCCTTGTTATTTTAATGTGGTGTATTACATTGAGTGAACTCTGTATATAAAATCATATTTGAATTCAGGAAATAAATCACACCTATTTTAAATGTTATTAATATACTTCTGAATTATGTGCTTTCAAATTTTATTGAGAATTTTGTCATCAATATCCATACAAGTTACTGTTCTATAGTTTTCATTTCTTTCAGAATCTGTGACTGCCTTTGTTTCCTAGCAATCATGGTCTCAAAAATGAGATAGGAATTATTGATATCTTTAATTTTTTGGACGAGTTTGGGAAGCATTAGTCCTAATTCATTTCTAGACATTTGCTAGAATTCAGGAAGAAAGCATTTGCTGTAGAAATTTTTTCAGTTGAGAAGTTTTCCATTATGAGTTTTCTCATTTTCTTGCTTTAAGGATAGTCAGATAAGCAGTTCTTATGAAATGACTTCAAAAGTTTGTGATCATAAGATAAATAACACTAGAAGTTCAGGACAATTAAGCCAGTGTCCTCCATCAATTTTTCTTATAATGGCCAGATTTTGAAGCCTGTTTTAAGATATCTTCAGGATGCTGTCTGAGAGAATATGTCTTGTCTGGAGAAAAGGAGAAAGTCTTTCCGTGGTAAGTGTTTTTTTTATCAGCATAGCTACAATGTGCTTTCTAATATCCTTCCTATCTCAGCCAATTATAACAGAGCTTTTTCTATTTTTTTGTTATTCTATATCCTAATTTAGTTGTTGAGCTCTCCTAATAAGAACCATGTCTTTTCCATCTGAAGCCAAACTCAATAAGCAGGACTTGAAATAAAATGTATGCAGAAAAGGAGGATCTACATAGATCAAACAATCTGGGACAATGAGGGAGATAATTGGAGATAGTAGTTGGTGCCAGAATGACAATCCAACTCCTTGTTTCTAATCTTTGAGAAAGTAGATTCCAAATATCAAGGGCAATTTTTCCCAACTAATGTGGAAACACTACCAGTTTGTAAAAGTGATAACATTAAATCCCAAGTCTGAGAAACATAGAAAAGAGATTTTAAAACTGATTGACCATAAATGCAAAAAGTATCATTTATAATTTATATCTTGCTCTTTTAAGATGCATGTAGTCTTAACTTATATTATTGATCTTAATATATTCTCTCCTCTTTGTACTTAACACATTGAAAGCCCTCTCTGCTGTATTTTAAATCTCTTCTTAATACATAAATTCATGTATTCCATTTTAATTGCCTTATCATATTGCATTGATTTAATGCATCAATGTTTATCAAATTATTACAATACTTTTCCTACACTAATCAGAATAACTTATAGTATTTTATTAGATACTTTTCAGGATTCAATATTCTCATTTCTTTCTGAGATAAAAGATGTAAAAATATTTTGATAATGAATATGTTAAAAAGGTTAATTTTCATTCAGTTTTACATTTTATTTGGGGTAAAACAAATTTTTATAAAATTCTGCATACTTGTTTCTTTACTCCTCTTTTTTTCAAGTCTGTTTTATAGGATACCTCCCTATTTCAAATAATGTATGGAAAAGTAAGTTCACTTTACCAAAAAACTAACAAAACATGTATCTGAAGTTTTCTATTGTAAAAAAGTTTAATTATTATTCAATTAATCTCTTAATAATTTTAAATAATATGTGGATTATTCTAAAGACAAATATATTAAAATTATTAGTTTCTGTATTACTATATAGTAATTGTCTTAAAGAATTCCTCTCCATAAATTGTCACAGTGAACTGGTGACAATTATCTCCTCATCTGGGGAATACTTTTTTCATCTCTTTCCTCCCACATGCCACTGTCCAGTGTCTAGTCATTAGTCAGTCACATGGGGCTCTGATCTCTATTTATTCAGTTCCCTTGAGGGGAGAGGAACAGAATCTTTTTAGACAGTGGAGTGAGAGATGAATTCTAAACATCAGTGTGTGCAACTGAATGATGGTCACTTCATTCCTGTCCTGGGATTTGGCACCTTGGCAACTGGAGAGGTAAGAATACTGGTAATGGGGTTGACATTTCAAAAGAAAATAGAATAGGGGTGAATGGAAGATGACCTGGCTTGTTCCTGAGTTCCTGTGTGTCTCTGGGGGGCCTCATCTTGTTCTTGGTTTGACCAGGCTAGAAGTCCTTCATGTACAAGACAGAGGCAAGGTGTGCTATGCAACAGGATCTGGTTAAGTTGTCACCTAATTATTATTCTGAGTACTCATTGTTCCTTCTGTTTCAGTCTATTTTCCAGCAAGGCAGAAAATATGAAACTTAGTTGGCAAGATCATTGTCTGATAGTAGATGATACTGAGTTTCTTTTCACATATGTGTTGGCCATTTTTATTTCTTCTTTTGACAATATCTATTCAGAGATTTTACCCTTGTTAATGGTCTTACTTGTTTTTGTTAATTTTTTAAGTTCTTTATACATACTGGATAGTAGTCCTTTGTGAGATGAGTAGTTGACAATTATTTTTCCTATTCTGTAAATTGTGTTTCCACTCAGATGATTTTTGGCTTTTTGCAGTAAAGCTTCTTAATTTAATATGATGTAATTTTCTATTTCTGCTCCTGTTTCTTATGCAAAATTCATTGCATAAAATAAAGTGATTCCTCTATATTTTCTTCTGGTAGTTTCATACTTTCAGGATTTACAATAAGGTCTTTGATCCATTTTCAGTTGATTTCTATAGGACAAGGAATGAGGATCAGTTCTCAGTTTCTGCATCTCAAACACTGGAACTTTGGGTTCAATTAGCAGAGAGGCTTTATGTAACCAGCTATTAGTGAAGGTATTAGGAATTAAGTCTTGACCAGCTTTCTTTCAAAATAACATCCTCAGGTGTTGCCTAAGCACCTTTAGTGTGCTTTAGGAGACTTTACTGAGAGAAAATCGTAGAAGATTGCAAAGTATTCTTCTATACTTTATGTAGTTCATCTCTTCCTGTGCTCAATTTGCATTATAATCACACTACATAAATAATAATCATTGCTATAACCATATGTTGAGTCTTGTGCATTTTTCCAGAAAATCAGTGATCATGACTAACCAGTGATTGTTCTAGACCAAAGAGGTTCCTGGAATTTTCTCTTCTTGCTTTATGCTGGAAAGAACCAGGCAAGCTGGGGAAGAAAGTTTATTCTGAAAGTCTCTGCTTGTGCTAAACTCATGCTCAATCATGCACATCTCTACTCCTGTAGGTTCCCAAGAATATGTCTGTGAATGCCATCAAATTAGCTATAGATGTTGGGTTCTGCCATTTTGATTCTGCTTATATTTATGACAATGAAAAAGAAGTAGGAGTGGCTATTCAAAGCAAGATTGCAGATGGCACTGTGAAGAGAGAAGACATATTCGTCACTTCAAAGGTATTGTCTATATGGTGTGCAGGTGTGAAAATTAGTGGAATATGATGTGCTGATCTGACTCTGCCAATAGTTGTTGGTAAACTGTGCTATTGGTCCTTGGTTTATTCACACATATTTACATATTGCATTCAGTAATGGACACTGGTGAAATGATGGCTTTCTCATCACTGTTACCTTAAAATTTTTTTTTTCATTATTGTTGTCCTGGGGGTACATTGTGACATTTACCAAAGCTCTTATAATATTTATAAATTTATAATTTTAATGCAAAATGACTTTGCTTTGCTGAATTTCAGTAAGGAACAGCATGATTTACCATGGATCATAATATCAGGCAGAACTATGATATGTCTTCCCATATTTCCTAGGTCACTTTCTAAATTTTAAATCAGTCTGAATATCAACTGTCACCTTTATTGATAAGACACACTATTGTAACTCTTTTGGTGTTTACTGAGATAGCTAAAATGTCTTTTTTCATCTTATGCTAAATTATTCAAAATTTTATCCCTTCAGCTTTATAAATAAATGTGTAAAGGGCAGAATTAGATTATTGCACTGTTTTCTAAACTCTTTGAAGCATAATCTAATAATGGACATTATTATTATTTGATTAAATTTCTGTCTTGAGCAATGTTACCTATTCTTTAGTAGATAATGGTCATAACCAAACATATAATAGAATTTACATAGACAAATTATAATATAGGAAATGCAGGATAAAGTATATTCCCCCACTAATTATCAGTTTCTAACCTGTTAGGGAAAACCTCAATATTAGGTAATGACAACCCAAAAATGTGAATAATTTGCTAGTTCAGAAAAACTTCAATTCTTCAATCTCTGTAGCTTTGGCCCACTTTCAGTCATCCAGATCTGGTCAAAACTTGCTTGCAGAGGTCACTGGAAAACCTTCATCTGGACTATGTTGACCTCTATCTTATTCATTACCCACTGGCAATGAAGGTAAGCAATATGCATGATCAAACCCACTTAACTTCAGCTGTCGTAATGTTAGTTTCATTGGTTGAATTCAGCTTCTAGAAGTTATGTAAACTTAATTTATTAAGTGATAAAAATTATTCAAGATACTTTTTGCAAGAGCTTACTGGATTATGAAAATGAAGATATAAGTCCTGATTAGATTTACGTATTTGGAGTAGTCTTCAGAAATGTCACTGTTTGTCCTCTTCTTACTCCTGTATTATTAGAGGTTTATTGATTTTTGTCCTAACCACTCCTATGGAGGCAAATATGGCCTGTAATAATTCAAAACTCATAGTCCTTAACATTTGATAACTTTTCTGAATCTTCCAACATAAAATTAATCTCTTTATTTTTGTTGTACTGGGCTTGAACTTAGGGCTTGGTGCCTAACAAACAAACACTCTACCAGTGGAGACACTCTATAATTGGAGCCATATCTCCAATTAATTTATTTTCAGGTTACTTTGTAGAGAGAGTTCCAGTTTTTTGCCCATGCCTGCCTGGACTCTCCAATTTATGCTGCTCACTATTGCTTGATGACAGGTGCAAAACACCATGCCCAGCTTTTTTCTGTTGAGATGAGGTCTAGGAAACGTTTTTGCCCAGGCTGGCCTGGAAGAATGATATTCCCAATCTCAGCCTCCCAAGCAGTTAGGATTGCAGGCATATGCCACCATGCTCAGGTACTGGTTGAGACGGAGTCTCACTAACTTTTCCCCCAAGATTGCCATGAGTCACAATTCTCTAAATCTTGGCCTCACAAGTTAGCTACTTGGGAGTTACAGGGTTACAGGCATGAGACAGAGAGATGCACAGCTTAAAATTAATCTTCAAAAGAGACTTGATTGGCAATCTTTTGTTCACTTGTCTTACAATGGACTAAGCCAAGCTGAAGGAGACAAGAAGCATTGATTAGAACATTGATTGCTTCATGTGCATCAGTATTGCAATTAATTATCAGGGCCATGTAACCACTGACCTTCTAAGTAAAGTGTGGCAGTTTGACAGGAGAAAGTGTAGGTTATGAAATGTAACATAAGCCAAAGAGTATTCTGCATAATGACCTGGGGACTTATTATTTTCCAACACATATAATAGATGTCAGAAAACAGAAGATGCCTGTCACCCAAAGTCCTTATTTATAATTCAACATCCAAAGCATTTGCCAAATATAACTCTGTAAAATGCTGTTCTTTTTATGTTACATAGATTTATTTCCCAGTCCTAGATTTACCTGGGAGCGTTGCTGTTAGTGGAGAGGAGAATTTGGTGAGATTCCTTTAATAATCACTTCCATTTCAGCCAGGAGATGAGAATATTCCAAAAGATGAGCATGAGAAAATAATATTTGATACAATGGATATTTGTGCCACATGGGAGGTAAGTGCTTGTTGTAGAGAGCACAGAGGAAGTCGAGATAGTGTGGGGGTCACAACTCTAAATGTGAGAATGGATGTGTACTTTTGGTTATAGAAAGCCATGGTCTTTTAAAAAGCAGTTTTATTGTCATATATCAGTTGTAGAGGGATTTCATTGTCACAATTCCACATATGCCTACAACATACCTTAGGTTCTTCCCCTCAATCATTCTCTCGCACTCCCCTTTGCCTGCTTAAAACAATTTCAACAGGCTTCATTGTTCTATTTTCACACAAGTATGTAAAGTTCCTTGATCATATTCACCCTCATTCATCCTTTCATTTACCACCCTCACCTCCACTAGTACCTTTCCCCTAACAGGAGCTGAATTACATTCCTGTCCTTTAATTTTTAAGTACATATTTATTGTTCAAAGGGTTTGGGGTATTTCCCTCATAATATATTGTACTTTAATCAGATTAATCCTCCCATTATTCTCCCTTGCCCTCCCCCCACTCCCATTAATCAATAGCTTTTAGTGTGTTTTGTTATGCAACTTCCTAAACAGATGAAATGTATTTTGTTATTATTCACTCTATCATTCTCTTCCTCTTTTTCTTCTCTAGTCCCTTCAAACAGACCTATTATTACAGATATGTTATCTCTCTCCCTCTTTTTTCCCCTCTCTCTCATATATATATATGACATATGTGTTACATATATATATATATGATCATGTTTGTATTTGTGTGTATATCTTTTGGGTCTGTCTTCCATGTATGAGAGTAAATATGCAAATTTGTCTTTCTGAACCTGGCTTCATTCACTTAACTTTATATTCTCAAGTTTCATCCATTTCCTGCAATTGACATAATTCCATTGTTCTTTATGGCTGAATAAAACTCCATTGTATATTATAAAGGCAGTTTTGCTTCCGTAAGGAGAGGAATTCATTCTTGTAATGTAAAGGAGAGAAAATGAAGGAAATGTACTGGGGGAAATGACGACAGTCACTTATTACATGAGTCTCCTAATACAGTATTCTGATTTCCAAAGGAGAGCCCAGTTTAATTCTTTTTCCTGATGCTACTACCTTGTCCCCTCATCTTTACTAGTTTCCCTCTTTTCACCAATCTTGTTTCACCAATCTATGATATTCATAAGTGCAATTTTGCTTAAGTGGGAATGAGGAATTCTAATACTGCAGTATCATGGAATGAAATAAAGAAGATGGATTGGGAGAAAGGATGACAGTCATCTCTTGTTCTCCATATGCAATATGGAAGAAAAGAATCATTTTTCTTGGTAACGTGTTTTCCCCTCCTCCTTAGTAGTATTAGTATTTCTAGTATTCCTCTTCTCACTATTCAATGCTAATGAGCTTCATTTTCATTTCTAAGTAACGTTCCTTTTAACAATTGCAATTAAATTGATATCTAGCCCATTGTGTAAATTATTCTTCCCCACATTTTCCCCAAGGCCATGGAAAAGTGTAAGGATGCAGGATTGGCCAAGTCCATCGGGGTGTCCAACTTTAACCACAGACAGCTGGAGATGATCCTGAAAAAGCCAGGGCTCAAGTACAAGCCTGTTTGCAATCAGGTGAGCTCCATCATTTTCCCCTCTCCTTGTTTTCTTCATTTCCTCCTTTCTACACTACTTCCACATGTCTATATACCTTCCCTTCCAGATCACCTTACTCTGATAGAGCAGATGATGCTGAGAGCAGAGCTGTTGTTCAGAAGGCATGAAGGACACTTAATTGTATCTTTATGTGGAAAGGGAAAACAATTGAGGAGAGTGCTACACTGTGTCTGAGAATTTGGGGAAGTAAGGGCCATCATGTTGAAGTGTGGGCATTAATGACACATGAGAGGTAAAGCATATTTATCCCTGAGCTATGAAGGATGTCCAGAGACTGGATGAGTGAAGGTGTATGTATAAGTTGTAAATAATATGAAATGAAAGTAAGACATCCATGACAAAGGTTTTATGGAGTTTGGATGCTTGACTCCATCTTGTTATCTCTGGTTTCATAATTCTGGAGCAAAGGCATAGCTACAAGAAAATAATAACTAGAGCCCATGAAAATTCTCCAAGTTAGAGAGAAAGCGTTACCTGTTTATGGTGGTAATATGGTGGGTAACAAGAAGTCCTGGGAACTTTTACTGAAATATAGATCTGACCTTATGCCTGACCAAATCTGAGTCTGGTTCTGCCTAATTACAAGTGCTATGTACATTATTCATTTTTAGCAACTTGTAGTCAAGTATCAAAGATCTTGAATTGGAAAACATATGCTATGTGACTTATGCATTTGATATCTAATGACACAATGCTGTATTTTGAAATATAAATGTTTAAAATGTTATGTTAGTATTTGTTTTATGGCATTTTTATTATGACAACTTTCAAACCTTCAGAACATTTGAAAAAATAATACAGATCATACACATTTCACCATCTATATCCAAAATCATTGACATATTCCCATGTTGGCATGTTAATAAGGTGTGTCTGTATTTTGTTGAGTATGTTAAAAGTTAATGGCAGGCATGACTATTCACTGATGCAGATTTCAGAAACATCTAAGACAGAAAATATTCTGCTTCACTGTCATGGTTGCATTAGACTTCAGGAAGTTAACAACTGTCCCAACATTCCATTTAATATCTCCACCATAATCAAATTTCCCATTTCCAAAAATGTGTGTGTACTTCTTTTTAAACCAGAGACAATTTTAGTTCACATAGAGCTTTTGATTAAGTTTCTCAGGTTCTTTTATTTACAATGACCACCAAACGTAATTCTCCATACTAACCAGGGTTTGTGAAATAGGACTTAACAGGATCTTTTAGTGAAAGATATGTTTCTATATGCCACATTGCTATAAATTAGAAGTTAATTCTCAATATTTATGCTAATTTAAAACACTATTATCAAGAAAATGTCCTTAGCATTTGTGACCCTCAATACAAATCACAACATGCTCTTGCCATGTAATGACAGGTGTCTCATTGTGAGTTAGGCTAGTCTGGATCATTCAGTGAACCTTGTTCTAGTCAGGTTATTTTTCCTTCATTGAAATTACTACAATATGTTAGTAATTTTAATTTAGGATGTCACATTTTCACATAATATTTGAGAATCCACCACTAATTCTTGCCAGAATTAGTTATTTCATGGGGGTTGATGATGAAGACAGTTCTTGCGCTATACTTTCCACCCTTTTTGGTCTGATTATTTTTGAGATAAAGTCTAGGCCAGCCTGAACTTTCATCTCCTATTTCATGCTTCCTACTATACCTGGGATGACAGGTGTGCAGAACCTTGTCAACCTTTCTTTGTTGAGATGGGATCTAACCAATACGTTTTGTGTTGCTGGCTTTGAACTGCAATCATCCTAATTGCAGCCTCTCAAGTAGATAGGGTTACAGGCTTCCACCACCATGCTTGTTTATAAGAACTTTCATTTAACTATTCTGCTTACTTTTCTCACCTGACATTTTACTGCAAAACTTTGCTTATAAAGTCATCAAAACTACAATGATTCATATCAGATAAAATAAACCTTAAAACTTTTCCTTTAATTATCAATGTTCTCAGAAAGAGTTAGTATAATAATTACAATCAGAACAAGCAAATCTTCTTCTTCTCCTCCTTCTCCTTTTCTTTCTCTCTTCCTTCCTTCCTTGCTTTCTTCTTACCTTCCTTCCTTCCTTTCCTCCTCCTCTCTCTCTCTCTCTGTCTCTCTCTCTCACCTTTTTTTGTCCATTGTTATGGATTCAGATTTATAATTTCTGTATATTAAAGTTGAATCTGGTTTTTCCTCATGCGTATTTGACCAAATTCTACTCTCTTCATGTTGAAATAGTATTTGCCATCTAAGATATTGTCGGGCAAGTTATGGTTGCACATGAGTATAATAACAGCTAGTTGATAGATAGAGATTAGTAAGATCATGGTTCAAGGACAGCCCAGGTGAAAACTTAGGAAGACCACATTTCAACCAGTCGGCCAGGCTTGCGTTTTGCACAGTGGTCCCAACCATGCTCAAGGCATAGGTAGAAGGATACCAATGGGCCTGGTGCAAAATCACAAGCAACTATCTGAAAAACAACTGGAGCAATGAAAGATCTGGGAACATGAATTAAGCAGTAAACAGCGTGCCAAGAAACACAAGACCCTGAGTTCAAACTAAAAACCAGGAAAAATAACAATCTGTGTATAAGGCTAACTGATTTCAGTAATGATATTTTTAAACTTTCCTCTTAACCTTGTCATACCTTCCTATCTTGTCCACCTGCAGGTAGAATGCCATCTTTATATGAATCAGAGCAAATTGCTGGATTTCTGCAAGTCAAGAGACATTGTTCTGATTGCATATGGTGCTTTGGGAACTCAACGATATAAACTTTGGTAATAAGAATAATAGGAATCACACCTAAGACACAATTATTGATGGGATAGTTTCAGTATTCTGGAGTTCACTAGCTGAAGGAGAGGAGAGACTGTGCATTTCTGTAATGTTCCCACATGATCCTGGTATTGCTAATTTAGGGAACATGTCTCAGAATGCCTGCTCTAAATACTTACTGCATCTGTTTTGGAAGTCTGCTGAAAATCAAAGTATAGTCTGAGGGAGTGTGGGTTTCCTTTTTTCATTCCAGGGTGAACCAGAGCTCCCCAGTTCTCTTGGATGACCCAGTTCTTTGTGCCATGGCAAAAAAATACAAGCAAACCCCAGCCCTGATTGCCTTTCGCTACTTGTTGCAGCGTGGGCTTGTGGTCCTGGCAAAGAGCTTCAAAGAGGAAAGGATCAAAGAGAACATGCAGGTATTGAGAGGGGCTGTTGACATCAGGGCTCCTACACAGAATCTTCTCCACGTGTATGTCTTTTCTAGCTCTCAAGACATTTTTGTGCCAAGTCAGTTTACCTGACATGTTCTACTCATGTGTCCTTTACATGCAATGCAGAGTTTTCTCTTACTCAATAATAGCACTGCTGTTTGTATTGTTGGATAGAATTAAGATTGTAATGAACTCCTAGATTATGCTGTCATCATGATGCTGGTAATGTGCCCTTTAGCCCTGTGCAAATGACAGCTACTTTTCTTCGTCTTCTAAAATCAGAGAGTTGGATAAGTTGATAAGCATTCTATAAATTCTTTTTTTTGTATTTTGTATGTTCCTGAATACTGTTGCCTGCTTTTATTTATCATTTTTATTTTATCTTTTATAAAGTGCCTTTTCAAATATTGCACATTTAAACAGATTGTCTTTTTTATTTATTATGAGACCATTTATGCCACTGTCCACCATTCAGATAAAACAACTTTTAATTCAAAAGTAATTCATTTAACTCATAATTCCATATTTGAAAACTTTTATCCAACTCATTTGGCCTCAGTATGTTTTTGTGTTCTTGTATCTGCAGACATAAGCTCAGTAAGTATGTTTTGGCCCTCTCTCCTATCATCAATTAGCTTTATTGACTTAAATACTTAGGAAATCCAGACTTGTTAGCCACAATCATGACTCTGCAAAGTCCACTCTTATTAATTAATATCTGGTTCCACCTTAGCAAATTTTCTGCTATAACATTTAGAATCACTTTACCATCTTCCACCTGGTGTTAGTGTTTAAGTACTAGCCTGATACTGTATTGATACTATGTATCATTTTGCAGACAGTTACCTTTTCACAATACTGAAGTTTTCATCCATGAACAGGAATTAGATTTCTTTAATTGTAGTAAATTTTTAATATATTTTAATGCTTTTTATAACTTTCTTTGTTAAAGATTTATATAATATACATACATATATGTTCTGTTAGAATTATTCATAAAACAGACTTTTGTTAAACTCTTAATAAAGTTTTCCTTTTTTGAGAATTTTCTAATGCACAAAAAAGTTTAAGGATTAAGTAATGACTTTTACTTGTTTTTAAATTGTTGACATGTTTATTCTCTCTCTGCCATAATTTTAGAGTACTTCTAAGGATTTTTAGACACATCATGTTCAGTATGTGAATAACTAGTGACCAAATGTCTGATGAATAAGCTGGCCAAAATTGACATAATGAGATCCTGCTCAAGTCAGTTTCTGCATACTTTGAGCAAGACGGCATTAGTGTGTGGGCAGTCACTATGCAAATTGTGTTGAAAGTGACATTTTCCACATTCCACCCCTTCACTGCTGTTGTATAGAAATGAGTTGTGTCTGTGAAAATTAATGAATTATCTAACATCATTCAAAACTTGGGTCCAGAGTATTCTGGACCTTCTAAGACTATGGTGCTATCCACTTTGAAATGTGTCAGCTTTGTTTCTTCTTTGACTGCCTTTGAAATCATTTGTCTGTACTGTTCTTCCTTTCAACACATTATACAAAGGAATGGATTTTTGTTTATTTTTAACCTAGAATTTGCTATTCCTGATTGGCAAATATGCTTTTTAAATGGACTAAATTTTTTTTCTACTTCTATGATAGGTTTTTGAATTCCAGTTGACTTCTGAGGACATGAAACTCCTAGATGGTCTGAACAGAAATTTTCGATACATTACTGCTAATATGTAAGTAATATTGGTAAATAGGTTTTGTGCCATTTATTTTCTGAGAAGGGAGATAAGATGGATGTTAAAATTCACCTCAATTTGTGGAAATTTGAATCTAGTGTGAGTCAGGAATGAGAGGTTAAGTTTTCTGACTTACCTCCCATATGAACTCAGAGTTGTCTTTGACAGCATAGCAGGGTGCAAGGCAGTAGAATCGGCTTGATTTGGTACAAATGCACCTGTGCACATATTTCATGGGATGGACAAGATCAGTCCATATCCATGCAGGGCTCTGAACTTCAGATGTACACATGCATATTTCAGTATGGATTATTAAGATATTTCCAAAATGAGTTTAACTTCATCTTCTCCAAAATGTGTTAAATTCCTATCACATCAAAGGCATCCCTGTAAATCCAGTGTTCCAAGCCATAAGTTCCCTTCTCGATATGAAGTTTTTCATTACATGTTATAAATTTATGTCTGTAGTTTCATTTCTTACCTCATTATAATGACATGTTTCCTGAGGAGCCAAACATTGTATTTTTCTCGACAATGGATAGCTTCGGGTGGTTAAAAGAAAAGGTGTAATTGATTATCTAAAATGCAGTGATCTCAATGAAGAGGATGAAGAAATTACAGTGAATAGAGATTAAAGACCAAAAAGGAGTGTTCAAGAAAATGACCCATATTTAGAAAGAATGTATAGCTACCACTTGTCTTTACTCTTGGTTCATCATAAATAAAGTCAGAGAATTTGAAAAAGGTTTTAAAATAGAAATGAGGTTAAGCAAGTAATATATATTTTTTTCTCATCTGGGAATTTATCTATAGTATAAGTAAGTGTGATAATATATGAAAAATAGAATAATCAAAACTGCATACAATAAAAAATTTCTAGCTATATTAATGTAAATGCTAATATTTGTATTTTGTACTGAGAAATATGAGGAATACCATAGGGACAAGGTGTGAAGACACAAAGAGTGACATATAACCAGTTATTTTAATTCTTTAAAATATTAATAAGTAACTACTTTTATCACTTTATGTTATGGGTTGTAACTGTGTGGAGATTTTCTAAGGTAAATTCTATGAAATTAAGATTTTACTTTATCATTAAATTCATTTCTGATTTTAACATCGTATGTTTTGTGTTTGAACACAGAAAAATTGAAATGATGGTACTCTCTTTAACTTGTATCATCCAAAAGTATTTCTTAGTGCAAAGCACATAGCTGAAATTTTCATTGTTCAAAAACAGAACAAATAGTTCTTCCTTAAAATAGGAGTCATTATTTCTGCTTTTGGGGTGTTTTTTGTTGTTGTTTTGATAGATGCATGTGTTTGAGTAATTGACTCTGGATTTCTGAATGTTAACTCCCAGGGTTAACTTCCAAAAGTATAATTTCTTGTAATTCAATTTTTGTATTTCAAAAGGTGTAATAGAGTCCTACACATGATAATTAGAAAGACCAATTTTATAACTCACCCAAGATAACTTTGTAAAATTTCACTACAATGGTAACATCTAGAAATCACTTCTAGTAGAAACAGAATCATTGAATTAAATTTACCATATTGTTTCCATTTTTAGTTTTGCTGACCACCCTAATTACCCATTTTCTGATGAATATTAATGTGGAGTCCTTTGCCATGACTTCTGCTCAAAGCCTCAGTGTGTGGATGCTGATGCAGGAAAATTCTCCCTACTGATGATTGGACCGTCACTTCTAATCCATGCTGCTTAGCAACTCACACTCAGCTAATGCTAAATGCCTAAGGGAGAAAAAAAAGAAATTATGTGTTTTTCTGAAAAGAAATAAAGTTAATTATACTGAGCAATTACCTTGTTCATTTTGTATTATTTGTACAACTTCCGTTTTAGACATTAGGACCCAAATTGTTTGGCTAGAAGTATGTGAACAGACATGGGAGATATCAGTCATTTTATAGACATTTATGGTAACAGGGTCTATAGAGCTGTCTAATGAAATAGCAGGTGGGAGGGATTTATCAGTCAACTTTTCTGTAGCCCTTTTAAACACAAGAAAAATTCTGCATGTCATCAACAAAGTGACACACATATGGAAATGACCAATATTCCCAGGCCAACTTTCACCAGCTCAAGGATCGGAGGTATAGGAATAAAAGGAATGAGGTCTCCCTTGTACGTGAATTGGCAGAGAGGAGAGAGGGTATGCAGCCTATGAAGAAGCACATATGAAGAGTTTGAGGAGGGAGAGATTCAGCCTGTTTCCTCTTGAGAAATCCTGGATAATAGTATTTTTATACATTTATTTGCAAATAAAATTTACCCAATAGTGAGTGATGAGTATTAGGTATTGATCACCAAAGAGTGCCTAGTATCAGCAATGAGCTTGCTTGGTAGTGGGGTCCTTTACCTTCACTAAAATTAGCTCAGTTTTTTTATAATGTCTTGTAAAATATCTTTTGTCATATCCATTTTATTTAAACCCCCTTTAAAAGAGTTTCTCCTCCAGAGAAGATCACTTTCCATGAATAAGAGTAGCCTCATAAATGCTAGAGGCAAATTTGAGACAGTAAAAATGGAAAAGTATAAACAAATGATGCAAAGTTTGAATAATGTATATTATGTAACTAAATCAGAGCTGTTCAGACCAGAGGACCAAATCCTATCACTATTTAAAAAGTTAGAGTTCTAGTTTCAGATTGGAATATAGAATTTGGAGGTTGTTACATCTATCTTCATAAAGAGAGAAGCTAAAAAATCAGAAAATAAACATACTACTTAAGACCATTAGAAAACTGAGGTCACAGGGCAAATCACAGACCTGTAAATCAAAGTGATGAGAGAAGAAAGCACTTTGACATATTTCTAGGCTGTTCACATCCCCTATCCAATGCCTGCTGTTAAGGAGAACAGTTTTCCAGAACAAAATGGATGTAGATTTTAACAGACCAAAACTATTTGACAGAAAGAAAAGACACAGCATGATCTTTCTACAGCTTGCCACGAGACTGAAAATAACACTCAGCTACAGCTTTCACTACTGGTGCTTACTAGTTCCGTAGTGGGGGCACATGACTGAGAAGGGGAGAGTTCACACTAAGAAAAGACCCAAGAAATTGTTAAAATTGAATGACAAGGCTTTAGAACTCTTCCTCTTCTCCAACTCATTACCACAAATGCAGAGAATTATATTCTCTTTAAGGAACGCAACAGGGAACTAGGCATTACATTTTTACTAATGGAAAAGGAATCATGAATTATTATCTAAGCGTCTACTCCAATGTAATATATATATATATATATATATATATATAGAGAGAGAGAGAGAGAGAGAGAGAGAGAGAGAGAGACAGAGAGAGAGAAAGTAAGCCAGAGGGAAAGTTTAATTTGCCTATTTAAGCAAGAGGGCAGAACTACTGATAGCAGGAGTGAAGTAGAATTGGAAGCTGGTGGCTCATGCCTTTAATCCTAGCTACTCAGGATGATCGTGGTGCAAAGCCAGCCTGAACAAATAATTCTGCTAGACCCTATTTCAAAAAACCCTTCACAAAAATAGGGCTGATAGAATGGCTCAAGGTGAAGGCCTTGACTTCAAGCCCTAGTATCACAAAAAAAAAAGTGAAGTAGATATGACCATGTGAATCACTAACCATCTGAGCTATTGCTAAACAGAAGATACGGATGTCAGTACAGTTCAGCTGAAGGGTTTTCAGTGACCATTTCAAGGCTAATCCAGCAATTTATGCTGGACAGAAGATACCTTGGAGAAACTTGAAATATATTGAGTTAATACAATATCGAATTTTGTGCTGGAGTTCAGGAAATAAATAACAGATTGCATATGACTACTTTGTCAACTTCAAAGGGTAAATGTGCCTCCCCATGACATTGATGCTGACTAAGCATCATCAGTGCTCCTGTCTGTGATGCTCTACTCTATGCTAAATCACACTGCCTTTCAATTAGGCCGAGAAAAGCTAAATGTGCTTAGAACAATAAATTTCAACACATTAATGAATAAAATGTTCCCATTTGTCCTGATATTCTGTTTCTAGATTTAATATGTGAGCCTAAATATGTACAAATAAATTATTCCAATAATAAAAAGTCACCAAGTAAAACTACAAATCCAGTCATAATTTTCACCTCTGCATAACATGTTTTACACATGTACACAAAAACACACTGTGTATATAGCACATTTGAAGTGTAAAGTATGTTTTGTCTTTCACAGCATCATTACAATCTTACTCCAATGGCCAACTCCATTGATCTTCATTATAATATGAGTAAGCAATGTCAGTATGGCAGAACCTAGTACATGTAGCCAATCTGTTGACTTCCTTAACTTTACTCTTTAGAACCTAGAACAAAAACAAAAAATGGCACTTAAGAATCCACTTGACTGGGATATATTTCAGGCCACAAGCAATGTTCTGAAGAATCATTCATTCCTTCATTCCTTGGGTTTCCTTTTGCATTTTTGTGATAATCTGGTCCACATTTGGGTGGAATTGCTGGGTTTTAGCAGTAAGAGTTTTGCATTACAGGAACCCCTTATGTCCAGTGGAGGAACAAGTTGATCACTGACATCACAGCTCTCCCAATATGCCCAAGTTCAAAGATTTTCTAGGATGAGTCACAGGACTCAGCACATAGCTATAGCTCTTTATATGAGTTTTTTCAATGAAAGGAAGCAAAGCCAAATCAACAAAGGGAAAAGGTTTGTGAATGTAAGTAAGAAGTCAGGCACAATCTCTGCATCCTGTCCTGGGGGAGGACTTATTCACAATATGATTTTCCCCACAACCACAGTTTGGCAAAACATGGGATATGTCCACTTAAAAAATAAGAGACTCACTGAGAAGACTCAGTCTTCTTTTGAGGAATCTGATTCTATAGGTTCCAAAAAGTGGAGGTACTATATTCATACTTCATGCCAAATTCTAAACTCCTCAAAGTTGCAGTTGTAGTGCATAAAACTTACAAATTTTACAGGCAGATTAATTACAGACAGTATCCTTAAGTGTTAGGGATCATAGAATACCTTCCACAATTTAATTTCTGACAATCATTCCAGGGCCACTGTTGTAAGTAAGAAATATTACAATCTATAATGCTAAATCTTTCCTTCAAAGTCACTGTATAGGAATGAAAGAACTAAATATTATGGGTTAGGATGCATATCCTACAGCTACCACTTTATATATAAGAAAATCAGCTGTAGTTTTTTAAGGATCAGTAATTGCATCAACGACCAGTTCTTTTAGGCAAGATATGAATGTAGAGCGATTCTAAATCACAGCCTTTCTAACAAGGCTTGGATGAAGAATTTAAAGTACGTAAAAAATACATGAACAAAATACTACTTGTTTTTTAAAGTATCTTAGAAGCTATCATTTTTTTTGTGAAATGAAAAGAAAGCAGATATTGATTTCTACCACCATTTCCTGTTACCAGCCCTGCTCCTTTCTCACTGTTGGGGACACTCAGAGGTTGAACAAAGCTGAAGCTATAGTGGAGTCCTGTTCCTTTCTCTGCTTCATTATACTTTACCTTACAAATGAACCCAGTCCTGTCACTGGTCCTTAAATTACTATAAATATTTTCTTATATTTTTTAAAAGCAAAAAATTTGATTGAAAGGTTAACTATCCAAGTCCTCACCATGCATTTATGTTTTCTATTAGACAGATTTTGTCCCAGTCTATATACCAAGTAGATTACTGTAGCTTTGCATTTCATTCTGAAATAAGGAAGCATGCTTTGCCCACTTCATTCTTTTTCAGTTTGTTGAAGCTATTCATGTTCTTGCATATTCTCTGTGAATATTAGAGTGTGTCTATCTGTTTCAGTGCCACTAAAACCATTGGAAGTGTGATAAAGATTGCAATGAATCTGTGGGACTCTTGGGATAACATTGCTATGTTAATAATGCTGAGAGTTCCATGATCAGAGTGTTTTTATTTTTGTGTTTTTTAATTTCGTGCAAGGTTGTGTAGTTTTCATTTTATACTTCTTTTGTCACATGGGTTAAGTTTATTTGTAGGTGCTTTATTATTTTGACCTTATTAAAATGGAACGGAATTTTTTTTAATTTCCTTTTTGTTTATTGTTGGTATACTTAAACATACTGGGTTTTTTGTGTTTTACAATTCATTTAAGGGAACTGGTAATCACAAAATATCTCTGTGTAGATTACTTATTCTTTAGACAATTCTGCACAATAGCACTATGAGAATTTTACACTAGCTACAGTCTATTTTCTTAAGTACAAAGATGAACTAGAATCTGAGCCATTATGCGATCATATAATAAATCAGATCTGATTGATCACCATATCTATAAAACCAGGCCTGGGGAATGTATGGAGACTGGGAACACATGCATGGTCTTAACATAGGGAATGTTTATTATAAACACACTGATTTTGTGCAATGGTTTTGTGTCCCACAATTTTCTGAATTCATTTATTGACTATAAATTTACTTGTGAAATATGCAAGTTTACAATATAGCAGATCACAGGGTAAGTTCATGATCAGAGATAAATTTACCTATTCCTTTCTACATTTCCTGCTTCATTTCTGCTTTTACCCATAATCCTTGGCTGGAACTCCCATACTACATTGAACAGAACTGGAAAA